ATCGCGGACACGTGTTTTTGCCTAATTGGCTTCATTAGTGCAGTGTAGTCAAGTGCAAAGTTAGGTAACACCTGAAGGCTGAAACAGAAGAACGTCAACTTTCGGAAAACTTTGAAGGTATCCCAGAGAAATTAAAATTTGTTTTTGAAAATGCATTAAAATGGATTTTGAAATATTAAATGAAATTATCCGCATTGTATAAATGTGTCTCATGAAATGTTAGATTATATTTCTTTCAGATCTCGGAAGTTTAAGCATCTACATATTGAATTGAACCACAAAATCGTATTGTTAAATATTCAAATGTATTGAGCTTAACTGTGTTCTTTCCCTTTTATTATTATTTTTTTGTTATATATTGAATAAATACATACACATCACACAAACACTTCACTACTGATCTATCAACACAGTTTCAATGTTGGATATTAACTACTTACTTATCAAGTGAAAGTATGCGAGTAGGTATAGTCGAAGTAATCTTTATTGTGAATAGTTGAAGATATCGGCATCTCAAAGGCCAAAAAAACCCATACAGCGAAATAATGCCGCTACGAACTAGTCCACGTGAACTGAAGAATTGGCGGTTCGTATTGGATAATTTTAACTAACCGAGTTTTATGAATGGCTGAAGAGTCATAAAATTAAATTTGAAGTCATGTTACGTTGACGAATAGAATATGGGGATGTGCAGTTATGATTACTTAAAATTTTTGTTATCTGTTTAAAATGTGGCATCCTTGGACAAGTACTAATAGTAATAAGAAGTGTGATTCAATAGCGCTGGTGAAGAATACGAAAAAGATATACCAGTGAATAAGATTCGGATGCATTTGAAACACAGAGTGATATCATTGGTGACAGCTCATCAAAGTACCGAATAAAAATTCGAGGAAAGATGAAATACAAAGTTTTTCAATGGATAACAATTTGTATTTTGAAGATAACTATACCAAAAACCAACTACTTGAAGTTCTACAGACAAAAACATTCGAAAAAGTGTATGTTCTTGAGAGTATTGCTGAAAAGTATGGACACACCATACTGAGACTTCCCCCCTATTTTTTTATTTTCAATCCCATCGAGTTGATTTGGGGAACATTGAAACAAAGCATCAGGCGTAAAAATAATTTTACAAAATTTGATAAGAAGGTAATAGAGCTAGTTAAAGAAAAAGTATCTAATATTACCGAAGAAGACTGGCAGAAACGGATTGAAAAAGTAATTTTAGTTGAAAAAGACTATATGGAGATTGGATACTTCCATATTGATGGTGGAAATATATTCATAATTGATTTAAATGACGACAGTGATAGTGAAACAGAGTTTCACTTCGAACTTCGAACGAGTGGAACACAGCAAGCATAGAGCTAGTAACGAGACTTGGGGACAAGTGATTCTTGAAAATGGCTCCAAAGCAGGAGTCGGAACGTCGAGATGATGAGAAATGATTATTGAATAACAAATTGAATAGCTCCCTAACTAAATTATTAAAGGGGAACTTGATGGAGGAAGGTAGGTTGCTCTATATCGTTTACTTGAACTATACATTATCTAGAATGCTGGCATCATTAGACCCGATATCCAGGGTCGGATATGTTTATTCCATTGTCTAATACCCTCTCATAGAACAAGTGAAAAATCTGACAAAAACACAACTCCATTTTATTGGCACACTTTTCATTTGATACTTTGTCAGAGTAAGAAGTTTCATTAATATTCAGTTGTGAAACTGTAACATAATTTACATCACGTCTGTAGTAACATGCATTTTATCAACAGACACTCCTCGTATACATACTAGTTACACAATCCTCGTCCGTATTATGCATTATAACCAATAATTCCGCCCATAAAATGATTCCCATCGAACATTCATCATAAATAGCTGTAATCGGCATCAACAAATACACGAATCTTTGAAGTAATTATACTCAAAAATCTCGGAAGGTAATTTATATTAATGTGTTCCTCAATTGAAGCAACTTATAGAGCTGTCAGTCATGATTGATACCACCTAACAAAACACTAAGCGGATAAGAGATGACGCCATGTTGCCAAATGTGTTACTTGAAATACCCAACAAGTGTTTATTCATGATTATTCGTTATCAATTTCTCTAGAATTGATTGAAAACTTTTTCTTCGAGTGTTGACTTCGATCTGAGAATAATAATTGCTATTGAATAGGTTTCAGCGAATTGAAAAATATTGTTATTGGTTTCATCATTGTTATCTGATTGCTCCCTGTATATCGTTTTTCAGTTGACCTTTTGTTAATAGTGATCAAAGTTGATGTGAAAAAATAATGACGTCTGGTTTTTCAGAAAGATCATGAAATTCCGTTCTTCGACACGGAATAAATAATTTACAGGTAATTCAAAAACATATGGTCCTTCGAGATATGCAAAGAAAACACTAAGGATAGCATGAATTCAAAAACATCTGTTTAAAACCTGAGGTACATTCAATGGAAATAAAGAGAAGCTAAAGGCTGAATCTGAAGTTTTCGTGACTGCTGGTGAAGGTCAAGGAGCAATCTGAAAATCTCTTTCCAAAGCAAAAGGAAGCAGTAGAAATAGAAACTGGAAATTGAAACAGCAATAAAGGAGAAAACTCTAGAAAAAGAGTTTTCAGACCTAGAACTAGCCCTGAAAGTAGCAGAAATTGTCAATGTCAATGCATGTCAATGGACAAACGGGCATGACGATGAGGATAAACATTAGATATTTCTGGCAAAAGAAGATGAATTGATAAAAGATTCTCATTTCAAAAATAGTCAGGAAAAGTATACTACCCCTTTCTTTGCGAACAATATGTGTCTTCCTTAGATAACAAAAATATTAACAAGGCAATTTCTGCCACGAGAACTCCCATTTTTCAGAAATCCAAATGATAATTTTAACGCTACTTGTGGATTCTCAAATGAGAAGTGGCTAAAAGGATATGCCAAAAAAATTGTTCAATCCGTTTTAATAATGCCACAAAATGTTGACAAGGTTATTAATTTACTAAAAAATCGTTTTGATCGGCCAGATCATATAATGATGTTAAAAATTTTGAAGCTACTATAGAATCGCTCAACAAGGAAGAACATTTACATAATTCAATTTTAGTGAATGAAATAATGAGTAAATTACTAACCTCATATCAGCTACTATGAGTAGAACACTTTCTAAGTTAGTAAAACTACGATTCAAAGTAGTAGAATTAGGAAAGTGGCTTGATGAAAAGGAAAATGCGGCTAGGCTAATTCAAATTCTAAAATATAACATTCCGAAAATACGTCAAAATCAAAATATGTCGAAAAAGCAACGAGTGAGGAATCTTGTATTTGCTGTTAGAAGAATGTGCATCATCTTACAGAGTGTTCTGAATTCAAGTCAATGCCAGTAGATGGTAGGTGGTCAATAATAACGGAAAATAAGATATGCTTTTCATGTTTGAGTTTTATCATAATTACAAGCAATGTAGAAAACGAAAGGTATGTGGATTGCAACACTGTCCAAAGTGAAGTTCGTCAGTTCGGACTTATATTGTCTGATATTATATAAATTGATTTGAAATCCCTGAAATAAATAAAAAATAAGAATTAAAAATTGAAGAAGAAGAATAAAAATGAATAGCTGAAAAAACAATTATATTAGCAAAAAACCTGAAATGAAATAATGGTGAAATAAAATACAAGTAAAAATGGAACAAATTGAACAAAAAATATATTAAATGAAATTAAAAAGTTAGGAGATTCCAAGCCAAGTTAATTCACGACGTTTCGATTGTTAGTATCCACAATCGCCTTCGGGTGATGACTGGACCGATTCCTCCGTGAGCTGATTATTTATAGATCATTTGAGTACTTTCACTTATCTCTGCTTTATTTTTTCCGCTTCACTGGTTTTAGTGGGGGATGACCGTTTGGCGGGAGTTGTCCATTTTTCGCTTGATTATGGGTTTCCATATTTTGGGTATCTCTACGCTGGCTTGGCTGAATACATTGTTGGATAACATGTATGCGGTTTCTTTGAATTTCCTCCTGAAACAATATTCCTCTTTGTGTATGATCTCAGCTTCGGATCATTCGATGTTATGTTGAGGAGTCCAAACATGCTCTGCTATTCCTGATTTGCTGGTTTCCCATCGATGTGTGTGTTTCTTGTGCTCGGCAATGCGAACATTCAATGGCCTCTTAGTTTCACCGATATAGGACTTTCCGCACTCACAGGATATCCGGTAAATGCAATTCTTGGAATCGCAGTTCTCGTTTTGTGGCGTGGTTTTCGGTTTTCGTGAGGTTGCTACGGATAGTGTTTCCGGATCTGAAGCAGGTTCTGATGTTGTACTTGGATCCAATTCTTCGTATCTTTTCCGATAATCCTCTGATGTAGGGAAGTGCAAGCACTGGTTGTGACAGCTTCTCTTCCTTTCAGGGCTTCTGCTGTCTTTTAACGAAAGTCTGTTCCACCATCGCTTTCGTAGAGCCATTTCGTTGAAGATCATTTTTGATGATGCCTAGTTCCTTCTCGAGACCTTCCTTTGTATTACAAAGTCCGAAAGTACGGTCTAATAGAGTTTAGATGATTCCTTTTTTAGTCGATTGATTGTGGTTGGATTCGTGGTTCAGATACTGTCCCGTGTGAATGGGTTTTCGGTATACAGATGTTTCCACTTAGTGTCGGTCCTCTTCACCAATACGTCTAGGAATGGCAATTCGTTGTGGCTTGGAATCTCTTAACTTTTTAATATTTTACTTGTAGGTTATTTCACTATCATTTCATTTCAGGTTTATTGTTGCTTAATATAATTGTTATTTTCAACTATTCTTTTTTAATTATTCTTTTTTACTTGTTTTCAGGGATTTCAAATCATTTTATATAGTAGACAATGGAAGTCCGAACTAGTGAAATTCGAGATAGATGTTATGAATATTGTGAAAAACCCAAGAAGACTGCGACTTTTCCTACCGCGAATCGACACCATGGACATTTGGATAGACCAGGAATTTATCAATAGGTTCAAGATGTCGAAAGCATCTGTATGGGTATCGATTCAAGAAATTGGCCTAAATTTGCATAGGAATACGCCACAGTGAGTATTTCTTTTGAATTACAACAATGAATAATAATCATACATTATCTTTAAGTGAGCACATTGCATTATTTCATTTAAGAAATCATGCTCTTACTCAATTGACACAAATTCCGGTAGCATTTAGTTTTTATGCTACAGGCATCATGCTGAATGTAGCGGCAGACTTTGGAGGAATTGACACCAGCACAGCATCACGTGTTGTTCGTGATGTATCAAGGGAAATAGCGAGATGCCTATGACGAATGAGGAACTAGAGGAAACCCAAACAGACTTCCAGAATATTGCCAATTTTCCTAATGTTATTGGTGCTGTGGACTGCACCCATATTAGGATTCAATCTCCAGGTGAGAATATATAATATAAATAATTCCTGAGATATGTGTTCGTGAATACAACTCCATATTCTTTAAAAACAGAAACTGGTCAATTGAATTAAATATTTTTTCAGGTGGAGAAAATGCTGAAAACTTTCGCAACAGGAAAGACTACTTTTCAATCAATCTTCAGACTGTGTCTGATGCAAACTTATACTTATACAGGAATATACTTGCTCGCTGGCCAGGTTCAGCTAATTATAGACTCATTTACAGTAATTGCCGATTGAAGGCTCAGCTCAACGGTGGGATGTATGGAAATAGTTTCATTGTAGATGATTCAGGCTATACCCTGGACAATCATGTAATGATTCCAGTAACAAATCCAAACACTGCTGCTGAAAATCTTTATAACGAATCCCAAATAAGAACCCGTAATGTTGTAGAGCGACAATATCGAGTATGGAAAAAAAGATTTCAAGTTTTGAGAATAAAAATGAATGAGCTACGGGGGTATTACATAATATTGCTCTCAGCCAGAATGATCCTGACCCACAAGACGACAATCCCATTGAACAAGAAGCAGATGTGGAAGACGATATTGAAGAACAAATTCAAAAAAATGGACATTTTACCAGACAAAACTTGATAGATAATTATTTTATGAATTTGATGAATTAAATGTGATCGCAGCTCTCTATTTACTAATATAATAAAAAAACACTCTTTCTGGTATGATTATTTTTATTTCAATTCTGGTTATGTAAAGCATACTTTCGTTTTGGCTTGTATTGCCGATATTTTGACAAATCATCAGTTTCTAAAACTGATCTTCATATCAGGTGAATGTAATTCAAAAACCCTTTAAAAATAAAAGCTGAAGATGTTCTGAAAAACTTTGCGATATACATGATTTGTTAGAGAAGATGTAACTCTCTAGAGCCTAGCATAGAATAGAAACATTTTTTTTTCAAAGGGGCTGATATATTAAGCACTGTGATAATGTAAAACTGATAAATCACAGAATTTCATTTTATTATATTTTTAATATAAACTAACAATACAAATGAATTACATTATTTATTTAAAAGTTTCATTTTCAATATCTTCAGTTCCAATTTCTTTTTTTCAATCTCATAGGAATGTAGTTCTATCATTTGCAACGTTTTCAAAGCATGTTCTTCTGCAGCTCTTTCTTGGTCATCTTCCAGACTGCATCGTTTGCAGTTTGAGAAAATCCAATTTAGCTTCTGAAACACTTTTAATGTTCTGCCTGCAATCCTCTGTTAGTTTTGTTTTCTTCGTTTGTTTTGGTTCAGCTCTCCCTGTTCAATTTGTGAAAATATTGTTAATGAAATGATGAGTTGGAAAAATAAAACCAGACTACCGCAGTAAACTCTTACACGAAAATTTGAAGCAATATAAAGAAGAAAAGTTGCACAGCATTATGATTTATTAATTATAGTATTCTCAATGTTACAAAATGACTTGACTACCCCTTATTACATTTGTATTTAATCAGGGTGATTCGATAGTTCTAATTCTCATTTTATTTTCTTTTTCCACCGAAAAAAAAAAAGAATTCAGGGGGATAATTTGGGAGATATTTATCATATTACTCATTGATGAACTATTACCTGCAAGTTCTTCGGATAATTGTCTTTTTAATTTTGTAGGCGTCCATGCAGCCCAAGTTTCTTGTGTGGTTGCGTTATTTTTAGGACTTAGGTCTATTTGTGTTTCACAAACGACATCAGTTTGATCGTGTTTAAAATTTTTTTATATATTTTGTAGCAACAATCATACCCAGTAATAGTAGATAGTTTACCTTTAATGTGGGATTGTTCAATTTTGTGGTCTTCAGGAATTTGAATTGAGAAGTAGATGGCTCCTTTTGATCTGAAATATCATTTTTCAAATGTTACCTAGGTAACGATTTATAATGTCACATAATCACAATTCTATACACCCATATATCTTGAAAGAGGTCTCTTGAAATTCATTGAGGCTTTTAAGGGTTCTGATCTTTGGACAATCTCATTCTGAACATTTTCGAATGTGACCCTTTTCTCTGAAAAACTCATTATTATTATAAATTATCTCACATTAAGTGTTAACTTCAGACATCACCCTAGTATACACCAATCAACCTACCTTCTGTGTTGTCAAAAATCAATTCGATTTTCGAGCTATCCAGAGTATTCAGTACTTCTGGCTCAATAGGTTCACCAATATAATCACCGTCAAAATAGCCCTGCAAACCCGTAACAGCAATGCCCATGATCTCCTTTATATCATCATCCTGTGTTGTAATGTAGGGAAAATTTCCTTCTCCTCCTCCTGTTCTGTAAATTTCCTCTTTCTCTGCAGCAAATTTTTTCTTGGTGTTCTTTTTTACATTTTCCCACTTTGCCTTGGGGACTTCGGAGGTACGGGGTTCTTTCGTGTTCTTGCTTGTGTTAAATGCCAGACACAATTACTGCCAACATTCCTCCTTTTCCCTCCATGTCACGGCGTCACTTTTCTTGGACTCCAGAATGTCCTTATGCATTTTCACCAGCCGTAATAGCTCCTCCACTTCCTGCTTGGAAAAATTGGATGACCTCCTGTTAGTGTAGCTTCCGCAATACATTTTATTACAGAGTCAGAATATGAACTCATGAAACAAATTGCATATGGCATTTACGACATTTACGTCAATGTACGACGGCAGGTCAATTTCAATTCACTTGTCACTTGTCAATGTTGTCGTGTCTACGAGTCTTTAACTGGAAGATATACAAAAGATATTTTAGCATTTTATCGGTTTAAACCTTGAACCCTTGAAAGCTTGAACCCAAGTTTAAACTGAACTATAAACGAGACATATACAACTGGTCCTAATTGTTCCAAAGAAAATGGTTCTAGTTTTCAGATGCGCCATGTACGAACAACGAAACTTTCTCTTCCCTCGCAGACAATAAATTTTGATTAAATCAGGATGAAGTATCCATACATCTAGGACAAGATTTCACCGTTGAAAAATGCTCAACCCATAATACTCATCGCACAAGATAATTGGCCACTTCTAGTTAACAGAAAACTCATTTCTGGATCATGGAATGGACCCTGAGCAAAATATTGTTGGGATGGGTAATTCATGGAAATTTGGATGTCTCCACTAGAAATCAACATGTCGTCTGCCATATCAGTACTCACGATCTCCAAAAGGAGAAGGATGATTTGGATATTCTACACGAAATGGTTGAAGAAAATTGGAAATTTGAAACTATTCTGAATATGCCTGATTGAAGATAAGAGAGCACAGTATATTTTGGACAAAACAATGAAACGAAGTGAGGAGAGATTCGGAACAGGACTTCTATGGAAAAAAAGATAACATTGTGCTTCCCGAAAGCAGAACAAATGCGCTAAACAGATTGAACTATACTGAAGGAAAAATGGATAGAGAAATCCAAGTGAATTTTCCACTTTTCGGGGTAACGAATGTGAACAAACCGAAAACATTGAGTCACGGTGTGAGTCTAAATGATGATTTATCGACAGGTCCCGATCTGCATAACTCCATGAATGATATTCTGTTGAATTTTAGAATCAGAAAATATGCATTCACAGCTGGCATGAAGAAAATGTTTTCACAAGTTAAAGTAAGAGAAAGATTGCTCTCTGCTCAACCAAAACTATGGTACGTATGAATAGACGAATTGAACCTTATACATATGGAATTGTTGTAAGTTTTAGATCGACCTATGGACCTTGCATAGCCCAGGAGGCTTAAAATAGAAATACTGGAAACTTTAGAGAAGAATTTCCAGAAGCAGCAACCGCCATCATACAATAACACAATATGGAAGACAATTTGGAATCGGCAGACACACTCGAAGAGTCAATAAGCCTTATTGAGGATGTGATTCATATACACAAAGCAGGAGGGTTTGTTATTTTTAACTGATGTATTGATGTTTCACTCTTAACTCAAGGTGGAAAGAATATGGAAAAGAATGGAGAATTCGTAATGAAAATAATTTTTGAAATCCTTATGACGAGACGTTCATGTTTCAGATGAAATTTCAGAAAATTGACAGCGATATTTCGGAACACCTCAGAAGACCGACGGAAAGGGATATCTTGGAAGTTTTGATATCCATCTTTGATCCATTAGGATTCTTGTCAAATTTCTCAATTCAACGCAAGATTTCATTACAGGACATCTGAAGGAGTCAAGTTGGCTGGGATGATGAAATTTCAGATTGCGTGGATGGAAAGTGGCAACTGTGGCCTGCAGATTTGAAAACTATCCACAATTTCAAGATTCACAGACAGTACTTCACCTTGAATAGACAAAAAAGTGAAATTCAACTTCACATGCCTATTTAAGAATTCAACAAGAAGAAAATGTTCAAACAAGTTCCATCACTGCAAAGACAAGAGTGGCATCTTTGAAACTTCTTTCGATACCTACCTAGGTTAGAGCTATAAACTGCACTGATGGGAGCGCGCATATGCTATTTGGTACTGGAGCGCCTCTGAAACAGTTTTGTATTGGATACGGTCTGAAACTAGAAGATTCAAAGTTTTTGTTGCCAAAAGATTAGGAGGAATACAAGACTTGACGAATTCTTCAGAATGGAAATAGATCAATTCAAAAGAAAATATAACTGACGAAGTTACGAAGAGATTGAAAAAAATCACCACCAGATCATTGGACAAAAGAAAAACTGGAAAGGAAAGTAGAAATTAATCATTTGGAAGAACGACCTTCTGAATTTGTATTCTATCATTTTATTCGAGATCATCTCACAGTACTTGACCCGAATAGGTTTTTTTAATGGAAGAAAGTGTTACGTGCAACAGTGCAACAGCCTATGTCATTAGGACCAGTCAATTCAGTTAACCGAATTTGCAAAACGTCCTATAGTTCTAAATCATAACCCCAGAAGAACCAAACTTCTGATTCAACATCATCATAAAATGATCACCATGGTCAAAAAATGGTAGTGAATAATTTTCAAATGAGATTTTGGATGAATTTCACTAGTTCGGACTTCCATTGTCTAAATTGTCAATCACCTTCAAACAAACGAGATTTTGGATATTAAAAATGAGAGAAGCGGTGAGAAATTCTTGAAACAGCTGCCAACATTTGTAAAAATCAAAGAACTATATCGA